AAATTATGTAAAAATCTTCATGAAAAAGGTAAAAATATATTTAATCTCGGCTTTTTTAAAAAATCCATTAGCTAGCTCAATCTGTGGGAGGTGTAGATTTGTACAACAACCATGACCCAACATTGAGAACGTTATCTTTCGCTAGCATGAATTTAGTGCAACTAAAGATTAATTTGCCAAATAAAAAGCCATAGGTGCCGTATTTTGTTGCGTTTTCAATGTAATGATAGTGGTGATGGTACTTACAACACGGCGTGGGGAAGAAGTCGGCGAGGACGTCACCGAGATTGGCGATGCAACAAGTGCCAGTGTTGGAGAACACCGGCCGGCGACCTTGATGCCTTGCAACCTGGAAGAATACCGGTGAATGGAATCACCAATTCACCATATGGGTGAAGATCCCTACAAGGAGAGAATCGCACTACGGAATCCCCTCCAGCGATTTTCTAAGGATCGCGTGTCTTAGGGGTTTTGGGAGAGTGGAAGTAGAGAGACCGTCATCCTTCCAACAGCCGGACTCCTGCTTTTTGTATCACTGGGGAACTGGAGGCGATTGAAAATAGAAGATAATTAAGAGCGCAATCGATCAATGTGCTTAATTTGCAATTAAGAAAATTAACAGAAATTTAATTGCATTAATTGCACGGGCCAACAGATGTAATTAGCTGTGTCCATGATTCTCTCTGCCGAAAGATTATTTCCCAACATTTAGTTATCAGACACCTATCCTTTCAGTTGGTACTTTCACCATTTTCAACTTTTGGACATGATGTTTGACTGTTCATATTATTAAAAATTCAGTGTGAACATGCAAAACACAAGTCATTTTAAAATATCTTTAACCATGCACAAGCCACAACAAAATAAATTATATGTAATAACTATTTTTAAAGATAAATGGTCAAATGTCATGACAAAAACTAACAATGTCATTCATTTAGAAACAGTACCACTTAGGACCAAAATTTTCACCCACAAAACGGTAATCCAACCGCCACCTGCATATACTATGTACTTCCTCCGTCCCCAAATTGTTGTCTTTATAGGATTTAAAATTTATCCTATCAATCACTTCTCATTTAATTTTATCCTTATTCAACCCTCAATCACGATCCCACTATCAAACATACATCATTTTTCTACCCTCAATCACGATCCCACTATCAAACATACATCATTTAATAAAGGACATTACAATTTTTCTATCAAAGCTTAATCAATGCTAAACAACCTATAGTGACAACTATTTTGGGACGGAAGAAGTATATCTCTAGCTACAACTCAAAATGCGCAGGGCCGGCCCTGGCCCTATGCAGCCGAGGCGACCGCCGGGGGCCCATGATGGTGGGGGGCCAACTCTGAAAATTTAAAATCCTTCGATGAAGTAGATCTTTGGTCGCACTGCAAGATTTTTGCGAAAATATTTAAGGCCCCTTTGAATCAAAGGATTCATGTAGGAATTTCATAGGATTCAAATCCTATAGGAAATTATCCTATTTGGCCCTTTGATTCAAAGGATTGAAGCTCTCCAAATCCTATGAAATTCCTATAGAATGGCACATTGCATGTGGATTTTGGAGGAAATTTAGCAAGAGCTCCAACCTCTTTGAAAATTTCTTTTGAGTCTATCTCTCTCATCCGATTCCTGTGTTTTTCCTGCGCTCCAATCAAACGACCATTCCTGTGTTTTTCATGTGTTTTGCAATCCTCTGTTTTACACTTCAATTCCTACCAGAATCCTGTGTTTTTCCTATTCCTCTGTTTTTTCTACCCTGCGATTCAAAGGGGCCCTTACTCATGAGAACTCATCCGATGTTTAGATCAATGATTTTTATTCAGAATCTTCGATGTCCGCGCCTGAGATTCTGAAGTCTGTTATGGATACAGATTGCTATCCAAATGTTTCAGTTGCTTATCGAATTCTCTTAACTGTACCTATGACGGTAGCTTCAGCTGAAAGAAGTTTATCAAAATTGAGGTTGTTGAAGAACTATTTGAGATCAACTATGTCGCAAGAAAGGTTAAATGGCTTGGTTATGTGCTCTATCGAGAATGATATCTTGGACACTATTGATCTTAATACCGTTCTTGATGATTTTGCATCAAGAAATATCCAAAGAAGTATCTTTTCATAAGAAGCAATGAATATGATGGGGTTCTATTTTTCACTAAGGTAATGATATTAGTTCTAAGGTATTATTTTGGTCGACTTTATTTCTCAATAATTACCAGACATGTTAAATTTAATATATGGATATATTTATTTTCGTTTTGCAAGTAAAATTAGCGTCTATATATATCACAAAATTTTTTATATAGTTTAGAGGGCCCATCACGATAAGTTTGCCTAGGGCCCTCAAAATCATAGGACCGGCCCTGAAAATGCGTGTGCCCTTTCGTCACATGTGCGTTCATGCACCGTCTCTAGTGATACTTGCAAATTGTAACCATCTTTTTTTTTGCATAGGTCCGCGTCAGTGATTCATATGTTGTCTAGCTTAATTTTTCATTTGGTAGGTTTCCACCGTCATATATATTCGTTGTTCTCTCCCTATTGGACACAATCCGAGGAGGATCACGAATACTAACATGGGACATGTGCCCCCTCCCAAAATTTTTTTTTCAAGATTTCTAAGTGACCATTACATTACAAAATTGCCCCCTCTTTCTAATATGTCAATGTGCCAAGTCAGCATTGCATACCAAAAAAATCAAAATAAATTTGGGATCTAGTATACATATGAGTCACTAAATCTAAGATACCTTTAATTTACTGGAGTTAATTGGCAACTTGTTCTATCTACTTGGAGTTAATCTAGGAAGAATGCATTAATTGGAAGATGTGTTCTTCCAATTAATGCACACATCCAGTGGCAGCCACGATGTTGTCAATGTAGCAATCCATGAAAAGCACACGGGAATGATTTTTCCATGGATGCCCTAGGTATGACACTAAAGCGCTAATTGGAACCTCACTGGCCATGAGACATACCTTGGGCGTCCGGGAAAGAACCACTCCGATGTGGTTTTGCATAGGTACATTTTAGTTTCTAGTGCAAATTTCTATCTATTAGAATATAAAGTTTGTAGCAAATTACAATCATCTTTGCAATGTACAATCATTGCCAGTGGTTCATCTCTGTCCTAGTATATTCTCTCCACTCCTCTTGGACATGGGTTGTATATCACAGTACAGGGCTACAAAGATTGAAATGGGGCCATGTGGCCCCCCCCCCGGCCACACACACATACAAAGTTTATTTTTTTGCAATATTTGAACCAAATATAGCATTTGTTTAATTAGAGCTGATTAAACTTTAAAATTGGCCCCTATTTCTAATGTGTGTCAATGTCCTTTAAATATATATAAAAAAATCTAGCTTAAGCTTGGCCACTAGCTAGCATCACCCTTGCTAGTGGTTCGGATCTATACAACTCATTTTTTCTCCTTGAATGGATCAGTGTCGTCACGGATTTGTATCCTTTGTATTAACCCTAGTTACGGTTTACGGTTTGCTGTTCTTTATCCTAGCCGTCTATTTCTGAGAAAATGTAGAATTTCCTTGGTCCTTATTATAACATCTATATATGCTCCTATTTCCCATCTCTAAACTCATAGGTAAGTTTGTAGTTCAGTTTCTCTACCGCCAATTGCCTCCCCGCCGTGCTATCTCTATATCATTTCTCAACTCTCATGTTGTCATGCAAATAGAGATCAGTGAAGAATGCAGCAACATGCGCGTGTGCTCATAATGCTATTGTTGGAGAAAATGCTCAAAATCTAACAACAATCTTTGGGTATCTGTATATAGGACCAGCATTTTTTTTCTAACTTCGTGCAATTTGCTGCTATTTGTTCGTATTAGTTTGAAATTTATGCTAGCAATTGATCTCTGTAGATGCTGGTTTACTCTTCAGGTTGTGCTTTTTGCTAAAAATTAATACTAGCATTTTGTTCTGAGTTAATTAAGAGGTGTAATGTTCACTTGATCATTGGGTTTTTGGGGAGTTTTTCCGGTTATCATCAGTACAAGTTTTGTTCAATGCAAAGAAGTTGCATCCTCACCGGCAACATGGCAAGTAGGACAGAGTTAGCCATGGATGACAATGACTCTCACCTTTGATATCTAGAGTACCAGGTGATGGAGGCCAAATATGAAAGAAGGAAACCTCACCGTTGTTTTCAGTGGCGTCCTTGAGCCTGAGCGGGCTGTACGACCGAATAGGGCCCCCAAATTTTAAGGGTCCATAAAATATTAAGTATGTCCTATATATAATAATATTAGAGGCTTTAATTTTGTTAATTTGCAGTCTAAATAGTAGTAAAACAAGACCCAAAACACTGCAGAAGGTGAACCGATCCAACTTCCATCGTACTCCCGTCCAGGCGTCCGCGTCGTCGCGTATCGCCGAAGTCCCGACGCCGCAGCCGCTTCGTCTCCTCTCCCCAGTCCCCTACGGCCTCCGCTTCTACTTCATCGCTGATGATTGGCTGATTGCCACGCCCGTTTTTAATTTTACTATAAAAAATTACTAGGCTACTAGAGCCCCATTTTAATATTTTGCACGGGGACCCGATTTGGCCGGGACGCCCCTGGTTGTTTTGAAACACCCCTAATACATTGTATTTGCTTGCTGCTAGCGGTAGTGATTAATTATTGTGTCTTTCTTTTAATTCTTATTATTACATGGTAATGAGGATATATTTTTGCTTGTTACGGAGTTTTGTATCATATCTTAGTATAAAGTTGATGTCCACTAACTTCTAAATCTCAATATATATGTAAATGTGTCACATTATTACCCAGTAGCAATTATTATCTATAGTACTTTAAATAACATAAAAATGTGTAACATCATCACTCCTAGCAATTATTATCTAGAGTATTTTAAATAACATGCAAATATAACATATCATTTACAATTTTGTTGACATGCAAGCAACGTCAAATTAATATCTCTATATTATTTTTACATTATTTAAACATATACACATATCATTTATAACGTATAATATGTATTCATCCACATATCCCGTAGTAAATTAAACGTGAGAAATACAACTAGTTATTATAGTTGGTACTCCGACCTCGGATCTTTACATAGTTAAGCCTGTATATATATTGCAGCATTTCAACATCAAAGCAGCACATTTAGATGTCTGTCTTTTTTTTCAAAAAAAAAAAAAGATATAGTGCAGTATAGTACTACACGACGTACACGTTCGCATGAATTCGGGGGCCCACTTTCCAGCGAGACGCCAGGTGGGGCCGACCCAGCGCGCCAGGAAGGATTGATGCATGCGTGGGCCCACGTGTCAGATGGCGAGCACGAGGCCAGGCAGCGACCTGTCGTCGTCGTCGTCGCCGCCGCCGCGCCCACGTTGGCTCTGCCAGCACACGGCGGCGCGCCGGCGAACTCCTCCTCCGTCGAGCTGCGGCCGGCAGTGGCCGCCGCCGCCGACGTCCCGGACGGTGACGGAGGTGTTGAAGTACTCGCGGAGGCGGGTGATGCGGCCGCCCTCGACGGCCCAGGCGTGGACCCAGTACGCGCGTGGCCCCTCCCACCCTTCCGCCACCACCCACCCGCCGCCGCGCCCCACCGCCGCCACCTGCCGCGGCACGAACACGAAGGACGACGCCGACGCAGCCTCGGCCTCCCCGGTCAGGCGCCGCCGCATGTGCTCGCACCGCCTCGGCCCGTGGAACCACCAGTCCACGTCGCCCGCCAGCACGGCCGACGCCGCCGCCCCGTCCCCCGCCGCCACCGCCGCGTACAGCGACTCCACCAGCCTCTCGTTCTCCCTCGCCGTCATCATCGCCTCCTCCTCCGCTTCCAACTCCATGGCCATCCGATCGGTTAGTTCTTGGGAGATGATCGATGCGTCGATGTGGTCGAGCAGGTGTGGTGCATGGAAGGATGAGCTAAGCTAGGCGAGAGTGAGGGCTATTTATAGGGGGTTTGATTTCTTGAGGAGGTGGGGCCCACAGGGGGTGGAAAGCTTGTGAATGAAGTATCCGTGCAATCACCTAATTCGGTGCAACTATGTAACTCTCATCCTACACCGTTGGATCGAGAAATGGACGCTCCCAGTAAATTTTAACTTATGAGTGAATCTACGAGTTAAATTTTAACTTATAATGATGTGGATAATGGTATAGGATGAGAGTTGTATTATTACATTGAATTAGGTGATTGCACCGGATACTTCCCCGTGGATAATAGGGTTAGGTTTGTGAGATTTGGAGTGAACTAGCTAGCTGGGTAGTGGTAGAGTACGTAATTAAGTGATGAAGATTTGCTGCTGGGGGTTTGAATATCCTAATGATTGTGAATGCAAATGGCGATGGAGGTGTGTCGGGGAGACATCAACATCTATACCGACTAGTGAGGTTTCGCCTGGGAGCGTCCAGAACTGAAATGACTATTCTGCCCTTTATATTCCTTGTGCAGGATAACACCGTTGTTGACTTTTATCACGACATTTGAGCGTTTGTTTTATTTAAAAATAATAATATAAATATCATTTATTTTGTCATGACTTGTTATATTATTAATTAAAAAAATTTAAGCCTAGCTTATATTTTACCATATTTATATTAAACTTGTTTAAACATTGTTTTAAAAATCAACAGCAGCATCCCTTTAGAAATAGAGGTAGTATATTGCAAAGTGAGCGTAGCTCAACTAGTTTCTTGTGGTGGAAACAGCCCACCCGGATTCTAATCCTAGATTTGACAACGAGGTGTATGTGGTGACTTCGTCAATCTCAAGATATGCCGGCCCAATTATATGGAGGTGCTCATAGGGATAAGGTCTGCGTGTGTGCGTTCATAGGATCACTGGTGGAGAAACCATCTTTCGTCGGTCGGCCGATTTCCACAATAGTCCCGGATGCAATAAAAACCGGGGCTAAAGATGATCTTTAGTCCCGGTTCAAAAGGGAAACGGGTATATTTGATCTTTAGTCCCAGTTTGTGTTACCAACCGGGACTAAACATCATCTTTAGTCCCGGTTCGAATGCTGTCAGGACCTGTCAGGCCCCCCCGGGATCTTTAGTCCCGGTTGGTAACACCAACCGGGACTAAAGATCTTAACTTTAGTCCCGGTTGGTATTACCAACCGGGACTAAAGATCCCGGTGATCTTTAGCCCCGGTTGGTGTTACCAACCGGGACTAAAGATCTTAACTTTAGTCCCGGTTGGTAATACCAACCGGGACTAATGATCCCGGTGATCTTTAGCCCCGGTTGGTGCTACCAACCGGGACTAAAGTCCCACCCCTATATATATGTCTTCTTCCTCCTCCAGCTGCCCGAGCAAGCTTCAAAATTACTTCAAAAAAGAGGGGAGGTCATGCCAAAATTTCTATTGAATTTATTTTGGTGATTACATACAAATCGGAGGTGCCTAAAAGGTTTGCAACTTCATCCTCCAATGTTTTTTTTGTCATACTACATTTGCACCTATGTTTTGCACACTTTTTTTTGTCTCCAAAATTTAGTTGTAAGTTGATGAGAGAGAAAATGTGTGTGGGGAAGAAAGAATATATAGAAATTTAGTTCATTTGCTAAACAAGGTTTTATAAAATAGTTGAGAAGGAAAACTCTAGTGAAAGTTAATCTTAAATAATAGAAAACAAACTAAAATGAAAATTAAAAGAAGTAAAACACATTAAAATTAGTTTAAAACTTTACAAATAGTTTTTAAGAATTATTTGGTGTAATATTTTATGATTTTTGTATGAATAAAGATATCTTATAATTATTGTATGACTATCATTATTGTAAGAATAATTATTTGTGTGCGGTTTTTTTGACTCATGTAGATGGATCGGCAATGGATGTACGCTGACCGGCGGTCCAAAGAGTTTATTGACGGCGTGCACTATTTTTTGAGAGTGGCCGAAGCTAACAGGCAAAGGGGTTTTATTTGTTGTCCATGCAATAAGTGTAAGAATCAGAAGGAGTATTCTGCATCCAGGACTATTCATTTCCACTTGTTTGAGTCGGGGTTCATGCCAAGCTATAATTGTTGGACATCCCACGGAGAGCAAGGTGTTGAAATGGAAGAAGATGAAGTGGAAGACGACAATATTCCGGACTTTGCTCAGTATGTTGGATTTGAAGGAAATCAAACGGGCGAGGAGGAAATAGCTGCTGATGGTAACGACGTTGCGGATGATCTTGGTCAGATGTTGCAGGACGCTAGGGAGGACTGCGAAAGTGAAAAGGAGGCCCATAAATTGGACAAGATGTTGGAGGACCACAGAACTTCGTTGTACCCAGGTTGCGAGCAGGGGCACAAAAAGTTGGATACCACTCTGGAGTTGTTGCAATGGAAGGCAAAAAATGGGGTTAGTGACAAGGCATTTGGCGATTTATTGAAACTCATTAAGAACATTCTTCCGGGGGAAAACAAATTGCCCGAGACAACGTACGAGGCTAAGAAGATAGTCTGCCCGTTAGGACTGGAAGTTCATAAGATTCACGCATGTCCGAACGATTGTATCCTATATCGCGGTGAGGAGTATGAGAACCTAGAAGCATGCCCTGTTTGCAAAGCACTACGATACAAGATTAGACGGGACGATCCAGGAGAAGTTGACGGGCAGCTAACAAAGAAGAGAATTCCTGCTAAGGTGATGTGGTATTTCCCTATAATACCACGGCTAAGGCGTTTGTTCAGGAACAAGGGGAATGCTAGAATGTTGCGATGGCACGCTGAAGAGCGTCAACAGGACGGGATGCTGAGACACCCCGCCGATGGTTCGCAGTGGTGAAACATCGACAGAAAATTTAAAGAATTTGGAAAGGACGCACGAAACATACGGTTTGGTTTGAGTACGGATGGCATGAATCCTTTTGGAGAGATGAGCAGCGGCCATAGCACTTGGCCCGTTACGATGTGTATCTACAACCTCCCCCCTGGCTATGCATGAAGAGGAAGTACATAATGATGCCGATTATTATTCAAGGCCCCAAGCAACCTGGTAACGACATTGACGTGTACCTAAGACCACTGGTCGAAGATCTTAAACAGTTGTGGAAGAAGGAAGGTGTCCCCGTGTGGGACGAGGACAAACAGGAGGAGTTTAACCTACGAGCGCTGCTGTTCGTAACCATCAACGATTGGCCTGCACTTAGCAACCTATCCGGACAGTCCAACAAGGGGTACAAGGCTTGCACTCACTGTATGGATGAAACAGAAAGTACGTATCTTAAGCACTGTAGGAAGGTTGTATACATGGGTCATCGTCGATTCCTTGCAGCAAACCACCCGGTACGGAAGAAAGGCAAGCACTTCGAACATAAGGCCGACCACCGTACGAAGCCTAAACATCGCAGCGGGAAAACAGTGTTTGCTATGGTTAAAGATCTTAAAGTAGTGTTCGGAAAGGGGCCTGGAAGCCAGCATATAGAGAGCGAAGATGGTCACGCGGCGATGTGGAAAAAGAACTCTATATTTTGGGAGTTACCATATTGGGAATTCTTGGACGTACGCCACGCAATCGACGTGATGCACCTCACTAAGAACCTTTGCGTAAACCTTCTTGGCTTCCTAGGTGTATACGGAAAGTCGAAAGATACACTGGAAGCACGTAATGATCTGAAGCATATGGAACAACGCGGCGACCTTCACCCGGAACCAAAGGAGAAAGGAAGCCATTACTTGAGTCCAGCCAGCTACACTCTTAGCAAGGCAGAGAAGGAAAGTATGTTTGAATGCTTGGAGAGCATAAAGGTACCGTCTGGATACTCCACGAATATCAAGCGAATAATAAGCACGAAGGAGAAGAAGTTCACAAACCTAAAACAGCGTTGTTCGTGTCGATGCCATGGGACACGATGGAACAACTGCCACGTATTACGGTGCTATCGAGGACATATGGGAACTTGACTATGGTCCTCTCAAGGTTCCTCTGTTCCGGTGCCAATGGGTTAGGTTGACTGGTGGAGGCGTAATGATTGATGACAGTGGGATGACAACTGTTGACCTTAACAAGGTTGGATACTCGGACGAACCTTTTGTCCTTGCCAATGATGTAACGCAAGTCTTTTTCGTGAAGGACATGTCTAGCAAAGGAAAGAAGGGCAGAGGGCCTGATGAGCCTAAGCGTCAAGTGGTTCTCCCAGGCAAAAGAAAAATCGTCGGAGTTGAGGACAAGACTGACGAGGATTACGATCAGTTGGATGGGCAACCCCCTTTCACGGTGACGATTGACCCTAGCATCCTCCTATCAAATGAAGACACCCCTTACTCACGCAGCGATCACAAGGAGGGAACAATAGTGAGGAGAAAGTACGTGCCGTAATTATTGTGTACACGATGTAAACTATTTTGGATGTATTGATTATCCATATAAATCAATTGATGTATGGCATATATTAATTACGCACGATTATTAGAGGTTTCAACAAGTTTAAATCATGTATATGCTAGTTATATGTGATACTTACAATTTTTAAAAGTTTTAAATCACACAGGTGGCAATTTCATATGTATGTTAATTAGAGTTTTTAACATTTAATTTACTAGCATTCATATGCTAATTATAATTGACTAGAGGATTTTTAAAAGTTTTAAATCACGCAAGTGGCAATTTCATATATTAATTAGAGTTTTTAACATTTAATTTACTATCATTCATATGCTAATTATAATTGACTGGAGAATTTTTAAAAGTATTAAATTTAATATATTTTTAAAACTATCATTCATATATTAGAGTTTTTCACAATTTAATTTACTATCTTTCATATGCTACTTATATATGACTATTCGAATTTTTAAAAGGTTAAAATCATGCATGTGGCATTTACATATGTTAATTAGAGTTTTTAGCATTTAATTTAATATAATTCCTACACTAAGTACATATGATGATTACAATTTTTATTAATTTTAAATCATGCAGTATGTACATACATATCTTAATT